GTTTCTCGTGTTCGCCTGTTTAAATCTCCCCCGTGCAGGTACCTCTGTAAATACATGAGGTCTGCGTACGGCCTGACCAGTCGTATTGAGAATTCCTCTAAAATGGCTTACAGAAAATAACGAATTTTGTACCAATGTTAAACAGAACTAAGGCAGTTAAAAGTTCTGTGGGGCTCAGTTTCTGTTACTTCGCTTCCTTATCGCTTATCTCTGCAGTCAGATATCACAGCCCTGCTTGTGAGGTGCCGTGCACACATGCTGCATTTCCTACCCGTAGCAGTTGGCAAGCAATTGCGACCCAAGCGCCGAGTGCTGTTACACTGGGGGTTTTGTTTGTTCTTTAAAAACGTCTGTAAGCCAGAACACCCTTGATGGATGCCATTTTTGGAAAGAAACCCTCGTTACCACAGTACTCCTGGGAGAACGCAGAGTGTACTGGAGGGAGGAGGAGAGCCCCAGTTCAGCAAGTGTGTACTTGAGTGTGGGCCTTTCACAAAGATGTCCGTACTGGTCTCAAAATCATAACGCTACGTCTATAAGGACAAATCCTACTCCTGGAAAACTTCAAGCACAGCATTCATAGCTGCTTTCTGAAAATGCAGCCCCAGTGGGCAAACAATAAACACACATGTTTTGTGAAATGGCTAATTACAGAATTATATGTGTGTGTTACAGATGATCATTGGTGGTCAACAAAAGGAAATAGTCTCAAGGATACTTGCAATCTCCTATCTCTGTTTTATTTCATTTCCTAATATGCACTAACAGCTTTTGTGTGTGTGTTACATATTATATCTCGCATATACGTATGACTGGAGGTACAACGGAAGCTGAAGATGTTCATTCAGCTTCAGCAGGCAGTCATTTCGGTTGTGGGCTTGTACCCGGCATGTGCAGCAGCCAGCAAATTATGTAACTCATGGTCAAGTACGATGGGTGAGGACATGCTGCTTTCCCATGAAGTGCCTAGAGAGCTAGTAACTGTTGGTGCCCTATAGAGTTATAACATATTCCATGTGCCTGATTGCTAAATCTTGTGATAGCTGGGATAAATACTGGAACATGGATGAATGCAGATTTTCAGGACCATCTGACTTATTCCAAGGGCATTGTAATTGAGAGTAAAATGTTACTGAGGTTTAAGGGAGGCTGATTTGTCTGTACTATGTCTTAGAATATCTTCAGTATTATGCATGGCTTAAGAATGCGTCTTGAATGAAAGGATAAAGACAAGAAGGTAAAAAGATAGAAATCTAGGTGTGTGTTACTCTCTTTCTCCAGAAAGAGATGGACTTGTACTAATACTTTAGTATTAGTATTTCTTTTTAAGAGGCAACAAATTCCCCAGACAAAAAGAATTTAGTAGATTGTATTTGTTAGGGAAACATGAGGAATTAGTGAAGAGGCAACTTAGTAAATGAGATTAAGCTATTGGGGAGGAAGGGAAGGTAGTAGTGCTAAAGAGGAGGAAGGTTGACTTGGTTAATTTTCATTAATAAAAGTAGCACCAGTAGAATCTTCTGATATCAAAAACTGAGGTACTGACACTGCAGAGGAAAGGCATTCACATAGGAAAGCAAGATTACTCTGTAAAAACAGAGTCAAGTGCAGTAGTACAAGGTTAGAGTCTTGTGAACCAATAACAAAAAAAAAATTGATCAGTCTCAGTCCTGGTTTGTAGCAGAAATAACTGAGATGGGAAACACTTGCAAAAGCTGTTTGATCATACGCGTTTAGGGTAACGCTGTGGTGAGAAGGGCAGTTCTAAAATATGTCAGAAGGATATTCCCTGTCACTGCTGTAGGGTAGGAATCTGATTCAAATAAGCTAAAATGAACCCAGAAGAGGTGTAGAAAAGGGCTACTAAGGATGATGAATGGCAAGTGTGTCCAACAAAGGGAAATGAGAAGAGTTTGGCTTATTTGCCCTAACAAAAGAAGATATGATGAAGTGTTGATACATAAATGTTTGTTTTCTGTCTCCTTAGCTTAACTAAGCCAGCAAAAATGAGAACAGTGAGTATAAACTGGCACTGAATATATTAGGCTTGAAACTTTTTTTAATTTTTTGGCCCTTTGTTTGTATTTTTTTATGGAGAGAATGGGAAGACTTCTGTGTAGTTTAAAAATGAAGCTAGAGGAGTTTATGTAAAGGAGAGGATTCTATGATAGCAGGGAGGCTGTAGTTAGTGGCGAACTGGGAGGGGTAGCTTACCTCAAATGCAAATATTACACTACCACAACGTTTTTTATGATAAGAATAAATGCCCTTCTCTCTGTGCAATTTGATAAAGAAATGCATGATCTGCTGCTGCAAAAAATGTTTTAAATAGTTGGTTACAGTCTATTGTAGCTTATTGCTTTATATTAATCCCTTGGAGTAAGTCTTTCTGTTGCAGGAAAGCAAGATGTCACTAAGTTCACCTGGACTAAATCAGTAGCAAGGATTGTTACTTTTGATTTTCTGTGTTGTTGCCCCAAGCCCTGTCCAAATGTCAGTATTCGTTACAATAGAGATGTCTGTGTTGTGAGAAGTTAATTGAACAAATATCTGCCAATAATTGTGGTGGGTGGCTATTGTAGAAACATGGGCAGTAAAATCAAATAGACAAGGAAAGGGCTTGTGAGAACATCTGAAGTAGGTCTGACTGGCCAGGCAGGTTTTTGAGAAGATGTAGGATTAACCATTTAGAGCCAGGAGGACTTTGAGGATGTTCAAACCAAGATTGCTGTCTGGGTAGGGTTACTTACGTGTGGAGAGTATCTCTCAATTTGTCACAACACATTTGTTGTCATCTGTGCCTTGAAACTCTATATTCCAGCTCTGAAAAAAGCATCTTACTCATGTTTATATAGCTTTTAATCACTTAGTGTTACTCTGTACCTTAGTACTTATGTAGTTTTAAATAACCTGACTGTGGTTTACCTGTTAAGTGCCTGAACGTATTTCCCGTATTGCCCCGTCATTTGCTGGCTTGTGACATTAACTATAACACACTATGAATAACTTCTTAGAAATAAGTAACTCTAATTGCTGCTTACTAAACATATTGATTTTGTCTGCCGCGGGAGAGACCAAACATATTTTTGACATGAAGGTAAATCTTTTTTTTTCTCCTGAAGACTTCGAGACTGGCATCTGGTCAAAGTGTTTCTGGGTAAACTCAGGGTTAAAAGGTGTAATTGGAAGTAGTGGGGCTGGAACTAGATTTCTTTGAGTCATGTTCCTGTGCCTTTTGAGCAGTGGCTCTAGGAGGTGCAAAAATAATCACAGTAATTATTTGGCAGAGATAAACCAGGCCTGTTTATGAATGGTTTGCCCATGGGAAAAACTGCTGTACATAAAGATGCTTAGAAGGTTAAAATGTTACATGAAAACTCTCTTTTTTGAGAATTATTCCAGGTTTTCTTGATGAAATAGCAGCTAATTGTTTTGGTAGAGAGACTCTAAACTTTGCTTCTTTGAGTAAGATGTGTCATTAGAAAAATGACCTTGCAGCAATGTCGGCAAGTATCAGTGTTGTATGTGTGGAAATACAACTGAAATGTTGCTTGCAGGGATTACGTTTTACACAGAGTATCTTAGATTGAGAGATGATTTGAGGAAAACCAAAATCATTGAAGTGTCCCACTCAATCCCCCACAATACATTTCATGGTATTCCTGAAGTGCAAATGAAATAAATACTTCTAAAGTGAGGCACAAGTAGCTTGAACACAGAGTTGTTGGGTTGTGACTTAACTGCAGCTTGGTGAGAAGCAGAGGTGTGAGCAGTGAACCCTTTGTGTTCTGGCAGCTGTGGCAGGTACCTGCTGTTTGCTTTGCATGGAACATCTATTTGCTTTGTGGATTCTTTGAGTTTGATCTAACCTGTGTACACACAAAGCAGCTGGAGATCTGCCCGAAGAAGGTAGTGAGGGAGTGACTGCTGTAAGATCAACATTTTGCTGCTTACTGTGCTTGCTGTCATCATGCTGAGGAAGATCAGGTGCAGAGCTCAAACAGGGCGTGCTCCAGTAATTCTTCCCTGAATAATCATCTTGGGATGCCATCGTGGTCTGCTGTAACCGGCTCTGGGGACTTGGTTGGCCTCCTACTGAGTCTCAGGATGTGAGGAGACTCACAGCTACTCTAACCATCATCAGATTTTTAATAGTTCGCTTTCAATTTTTTGCTTAGATGCAGATGCCTGATATTTCCACTGAGACTTTCTTATAGGATATGTTGAGGGATATGTCTTGTCTGGTTTCCATGGCTGTGTCCTCAATAGGATTAGGTTCTGTGTGGTTGAACAATCCAGACAATCTCACTAGTGCGTCCTTTTAATTTGTATTTTTGAGGTCCTTTTTGAGCAAGTTATGTTGCTTGCTTTTGTTCACTGAGGCAGATCACATGGAAAGCACGGGTGTACCAGTCACTTCATGTTTGGAGGTCAGAATTAGCATACCAGTTGTTATTTTCATAGACTTAAGTGAGATTTGGTTTATGTTCTGAATTAAGTGGCAGAATGTACTTGGCATTTTTCATTGTATTACAAGTGATCTCTAAATAGTCCCAACAGAATTCCAACATCAGGGAAGTGTTGTGTTACACAGTGTGTGACTAATTTTAATGGAGTTTCAAGTAGACTGCTACTAAGAAGTAAAACCACATTGAATTGACAGTGTAGTATCTGTAGGGCAAGCTTTTTGGCTCAAATCACACAAAAGCCAGTGATAATTGGCTTGGGACAGCGAGTATCTTAGTAAAAGTAAATAGTACAGTACTGCTACTCTGTAGAGCTTGTTGTAATTTCACTTGGTAATTTTGATGGTGTATTTGCCAAGTAGCATCCACATAGGTGAAAAACTCCATGTGAACTTTCAAATCACTTAGGAAAGTGCCTTCAACTCACTGAAGTGGGTAAATGGAGTGAGGTAAAGTTGATGTGTATTCTGAATGTTGTCTTTAATATGCAAATCTGTAAAACCATCAGCTTGTCAATTGGTTCTTTTTCAGGATGGAAAACTTAATGCACCGATAAGGAAGGGTTTGAAAACTTCACAGAAATTCTACTGCTGTCCTATTGAAGGCTGCCCTAGAGGACCAAACAGGCCATTTTCCCAATTTTCTCTTGTAAAACAGGTATTCCTATTTCCTAAAGCATTCTTTTCATACTGATTCAGTCCTGACCGTCTTCGCTCCAGAGAGCGTATGCTTTTGCATTCAGATACGAGCAAAGCCTCTCAGCATATATCTCGAAGTTGGAGAATTGTATGCAAAAACTCCACATGGGCATGTGGTTAATGAATTTGCACGTTTGCATGTTGATATTAGAGGACTTGAACCAGTTGATCAGGCAGATGCCAATATGTTTTGCTAAACTAGAATGCAGCCCCTCTCCACAAATTTAAAAGATGGAGAAAGATCAGAGAGGGGTAATCACAGTAGCAACCAGTAAAGGTTTAAAATGTGGCTGATGCTTTTAAACTGCTTGGTGCTGTAAATGAAAAGGAAAAATTATGGTGTTTGCTCTGAAGTTGATCCGTTTGACTTGAGACTGTTTGCTTAGTTGTAGATCTTCAGGAGTGTGCACATGTTGCAACATATACTTACTACGCTCTTTGGCAAGATTCACTTATAGATTTATTAACATCCACAGGAAACCTTCAGTAGCATTAGGGCACATAAATGTGTATCTGTGTTTTAAGATGCACATAGCACAAGCAGATTTGCAAACTGTAAATTTTTTCTGTTGATTTCTTTAAGCTTGTAACTTATTCCTAATGAGACTTTAAAAAAAATCATTCCAGTCTCAATGCTATTTAATAACTTTAAAAAATGCAAATAAGAATGTCTCCCTTAAATATGATTATTTTTTTATCTTAGCTGAAGGCTAACGTTTACTTTTCATTGTGTATTCTAGCACTTTATGAAAATGCATGCTGAAAAGAAGCACAAATGTGATAAATGCAGTAACTCCTATGGTACAGAATGGTACTTGAAACGGCATATAGAGGTCTGTGGGAAGACTTTCCAGTGTACTTGTGGATGCCCTTATGCTAGCAGAACAGCATTACTGTCTCACATTTACAGAACTGGCCATGAAATTCCTGCAGAACACAGGTAAAAGTGAAGGAGTTAAGTAACTTGCATTCATCACTGAGTCCTCTGTCTCCCCATGTACTGGCTTTTTGTCTCCTTTCTGTTGGTTAAATTGGAAATATGCTCACAGTGTTTTAGCTGTAAAGCAGTTTGCAGTTTCTTTGTTCTGTTGCTTTCAGTAGTTCCTGTTTTGTTGAAGGCATTGATGATTGTCTAATTGGTAACATTCCCCCCCCCCCCCCCCCATGTAAAACAAAAAAGTACTGATGACGCTGCACTGCATGGCATAACTGCTAGTGGTTCTTTTTGCATCTGCTTTTACAGTTCTGTGAGAGTAGAGATGATTTGGAAATGGTTATAGCTGGTAACTGTGGGGTGGGATGCAGTTCAGTTTCTTTTATAGTCTAGTTGTTTTTGCAAGTATTAGTGAATTTTATTTTTTAAATGCCTATATATGCATGTTTAGATTTATAGTTGCCTTAACATGTACATGTATTTCATAAAGTGTAATCTGTTTCCTGAGGCAAGCCTGTCTATCTTGGAGATAGAACTGCTGCAGAATTAAGTTTTATTTGAAGGAGTGCTAATTGTACCTTTGGTTTCCATGAGAGACCTTTACCTGTACACTAATTTTAAGAGCGCTGTCCTGTCAATGCTCAGTCTGAGTTAGCATCAAAGTAACAGATTAAACGTCTTCAAATGAGAGTGCTTAATGTACAAGGGGAAAGAAACCATCTAAATTTCCACCTCCGTTTAGAAATAGGTCTCCATAAAAGAGGTAACCTTTTTTCTTTTTTAAATGGGAGAATGAGGAATGAAATTTTATAAAACTGAAATTCATGGAGTCTTTTTATGTTTTAATCAGGGATTAGTTGTCTTCTCATATCCACTCTCATCTGTGACTTCAGTTTATATTTTCAATGCAGCGACTCAAAATAATGGAAGGCAGATGTTTTGTGCTTGAAAGGAGTATAAATTATTGATCTCATGTTCACAGGGATCCTCCTAGTAAGAAAAGGAAAATGGAAACCTCCGTACATAATCAGCAGTTGGCAGAGAAAGCAAATGAAGCATTCATCAGTACACACAATAATAATCCTGGCACTCAGGAATTGGAGTCCTCTGAAGTGAAACTAGTGGCCTCTCTTGAAGGCTCCTGCAGTTCTAACTTCACGAACCAAATGCAGCCAAAATGTACACCGAAGATGCTTTTACCGAAGCCCAGGGTGGCTTTGGTTAAACTCCCAGTGATGCAGCTTGCTCACTTGCCTATATACGTATCTGCAACAGACTCTTCTGTCAAACCTGCTGTAGTGGCTGTTGATAATCAAGGTTCAGTTGTAAGTACTGTTCATTTATTGCCTCAATCCATAGGAATTCTGATTCCAGCGCTGGAGGCAGAAACTCTGGTATTTAAAGATAGTATGCCTGTTTCAAAAGTGACAAATTCTAGGGATCATGAGCCAGTAAGTACTGGTGTACAAGTTGAGTTGGATAAGGTTGCATCAAATAACACAGGGCAAGAGCTGGGGAATGTTTGTCACAAGAATAAAATTTCTTCAATAAATGTACAGACTGACTTATCTTACATTTCACAGAACTTTGTACCAGCTGCAGCCTGGACTCCCAATTCTTCTGTATCCTCTTGCTCTCAGACAGATCTGTCGTTTGGTTCACAGGTTTCGTTACCCATCAGTGTACAAACACAGACGCTGCTGCCTGCTTCCAAACTGACTTCATCCATAGCTGCTCAGACTGATGCCTTTAGCCAGGTTTGTTTTACAACGTGTGGCGTTTCTAGAGAGACTCAAACCAGTAGGACGCAGGACTCTCTTGATGGAAGAGTGCAGATGGACCAGGCCGTCATGTCTGGTGACATCTTTGACAATGTTCATTCATCATATGTTTCTACTCACATTGAACTTCCAGAAAACAATTTAATGCCTGCAACTATAGATCAAACCTTGCTGCAAAGGAGTAATTGCAAGAGCCTGAATCAAGATACGGTGAAGTCTGAATCCCTTATCAGCTTCAATACACAGACTAATATACTTCCACCTCAAAATATGATGGATAATCAAACCCAGACAATGGACCTACTAAGTGATCTGGAGAACATCTTTTCAGGAAACATGTCTGGCCAGACACTGGATAATCGTGGCCTTTTGTCTGAGACAAGTTCTAATGCTGACACGCATCTGCCATCTGGTCCATCACAGAGCACAGGAATAGACTTTGACATTGAAGAGTTCTTTTCAGCATCCAATATCCAAACTCAGACTGAGGAGAGTGAGCTTGGTACCCTGAACTCTGAGCCAGTTTTGGAGTCACTGGACATCGAAACTCAGACTGATTTCTTATTTTCAGATAGTGCCACTCAATCGTATAGCTGCCGAGGAAATTCTAACTTCCTAGGTTTGGAGATGTTTGATACACAGACACAGACAGACTTGAATTTCTTTTTGGACAGTAATACCCATCTGCCTTTAGGAAGCATTCTGAAGCAGTCTAGTTTCTCCATGAGTACTGACTCATCTGATACAGAAACCCAGACAGAAGTATATCCTGCTACCAAAAATATGCCTACTCAGAATATTGAAGGCAAAGTCCAGCTCAGTAGCGCTGAAACACAGACTATGGATAGCTGCTTTGAGAATCTGGGGAGTTTATTCCTTACCAGCAACGAGACACAGACAGCGATGGATGACTTTCTCCTGGCTGACTTAGCCTGGAACACAATGGAGTCCCAGTTCAGTTCAGTAGAAACACAGACCTGTGAAGAGCTGTGCTCCTTGTTTCAGAGCTCTGACAAGCCCAGCCGTTGAGTACTATGTAATATAACTGTTCCTGTGGTTTGAAACTAAGTTATTGGGATGGGAGAGATGGATTGACCAAGTTATCCACTTTGCATTATTGAATGTAGTTCTTGTGATCAGTTGGCCTAAGAGACTTTTTGTGCTGAAGGTATTCTATTGATATGTAACTCTCCATAAGCTGTGTGTATAAATGGGGGTAAGGGAGGCCGTAACATGTTAATGTACATTTGAACCTTAAAAAAAATATGTGGTGCCTGTGTTTTGTCCTCAGACTTCTTTACGAAGCTGATACTGCTTTCATTTGAATGGAAGAACTTTTAAAGTTGTTCTATATATATACACCTCTCTATTCCTGGCTTACATACAGGGTTCCAACGTGCTGGACCAAAACCCTGGCCTGTCCAATTCCGATGCTTCCCTGAAATTACGGGGGAGGATTCTATTAGTGTAAGCTACTTCTCTTTACTTTTTTTAGTAGCTTGTATCTTAAGTCCGGCATGAACATAATAAGCCATAGTGTCTTCTTTTTACCTTATGCCTTCACAGCTCACTCTTCTGCATAAGTTGGTATTTTTCAAATACCTGTCCAACACACTAGGCACATAAAGAATCTTGAATTGTTGAATATATTTATTACTATAAATATGTTGAAAGCAGTACTTTTAATTTTTTTTTCCCTGAGTGGCACTGATGCCTTTTGCAAGGTAGGAAAAGAACTTGGAATACATAATTATAGGGAAAATTAGTATGTTGTCCTTTTAGCTAGTGTAATAAATGGGACTAACATTTTTAGAGTCTTCAGAAGGGATTTGCTTAAATTATTTCTGACTGCAAGATGCAAATGTTACAATGTGTGTGCCTCAAAGACTGGAATAATTTGTTTTCACTGAAATTCTCCTAGCTTTATTAAGCTATAAGTTGAGAAATGTTACAGTGGTTTATACCTCTATTACCTTAACAGAAATCTTTAGAAATGGGAAATTAAATTCTCTAAAATACTCACCTGGACTCCTGTTTTTGGACTTCCTGCTTCCAAAAACAATTGGAATCCATACAACAGAGCTGGGAAGATGGGCTCTCGGAAGCCCTTTCAGAACAGCTGTATCTCGCTTTTGCACAGTGATCTGCAGCCCTCAGTTCCTGCAGCTTTTAGAGAGTTTTTAGAGAGTATGGTCAAACAGACTGATTTTTCAGAGAAGAAACATGTGACCTCTCAGAATTTTTTTATTGTTCATCTTGCCCCTCATGCCATTGTTTGCAGTACCTTTCATTTGCATGACAGAAAATAAGCCAGTTGTGAACGTATGTTGGAATTTGGCCTTCAGTTGTTTTTCTCTCTTACTCCAATACCTGCAAAATGTAGGCCTCCATTTTTGTTTTGGATGGATTTTAGTTTCTGTTACCTTAAATGAAAGGGAAACCTCTTCATGTTAAGCTCCTGGGCCTGTAACAGACTTCACTCCTCCATTGAGAGGTGTTGGCTGCGTATTTACTAGGCAGCCCACCAGTAAATGTACGTCCAAGTCTTAGTTTTTGAAGACTCGCTATGCTTTGTGCTTCATATCCTCAGCTGAAAGGTGTGGGAGTTAAGTTACTCATCCATTGCAGCTAGCATGTTTTGTTGAAAATGAGCAATACTTTTTTTTTTGTCTCTTTAAATTGCCATGGTTAACGCACTAATATGGTAAGCGTCTCTGCTTTTACTGGAGAGAATCTCTTTAAATTAACCCTGAAACTCATATTTTCCTCCTGAAAAACTCCTGAAACCACAGCTGTGTTGCCTGTTCATTTTTCAGCATTTCTAGATGCGAGTTCAGGCAATTCCAGTCTGTGGCTGAAGAAACTGCAGAGAGGAATCTTGCAGTTGCCCCCAGGAGTACAGTAATTTTCCCTTGAGGAAAGTCTCCCCAGGTTTCACAATATCTAGAGTTCTGGTGTGAAAGGTGGGATATGTTGAAAAAAAGGAACCTTAGAGTCACAGAACCTTAGAAAGGTTTGCGTTGGGACCTTCAAAGATCATCTAGACCAACTCCCCTGTCGTAGGCAGGGACATCTTTCGCTAGATAGATTGCTCAAAGCCCCCTCAGTCTGACCTTGAACACTTCCAATGATAAGGTACTGCTTGTAACTGTTTCTTCTGAAAATATGACTGGTTCATATTTACCTGCCTGAAATTGGGAAATAAGATAAATGACAAAATCAGGTTAACTTATTCTGTTGCAGTGTTTTACTAGTAATGTTGCATCTTCATGTTTTAAAGTGGTTTTCCTTCTCCTTTCTTCCCCCCGGCTGCAATACCAGAGAACACGTTGTCATACATAAGCTTCTGTGTTTTCCATGTGCAAGTTGTCTGTACTGACACATGAAAGAGAAGCAGTTACTAGAAATCTGGTTAAGGAACACTGCATTTCCACAGCTGTAGAAAGCAGAAGCAAGACACTGTTCAGGATCTCTGAATTTAGATAAAGTCAGTCTTTTTTCTGTAAGAGAAGGAATCTGAGGTGATGAGGAGCAGAATTACAGGTGGCTTTGAATTGTAGCTTTCTGAGAGACTAGCTAGAACTTTGCAACTAACTTACAAATCAGAATGAGAATTGCCACGTTCTTAGGGTGTAAGCCAAAGCTCTTGACATCAGTGACTATCAGAAAAACACTAAGGTTTGTGTGGATGCAATCTTACAATGTAATCTTTATACATTTGTAGTACTTTGTAATTAAAAGTATTTACGAGCTTTGAGTGTTTTATTAGAATATGCAAATACCATTCTTTTCCGTCATCCTATGTGTTTAAAATAGTTTGAACCTTAATTAGGTGAATATGGTACTGCAACATGAAGTTATTTATTGAAAGTGCAGTATTAAGAAATTACTAAATACATCTGCATTTTCTTAGGGAAGTGGCTCATTCTGACCAAAATTAACTTCTTTCTTCACAAATCTGGTTCTCTGTAAATTACTCAAAGTCAGAAACAGGTTTGGATCCTATGCTGCTGGTATATGTCACTCAGTTTGGATTTATTAAGTATTTTTGTGAAAATGTAAAGTCTACAACTAAACTTCATAGTTTGCTGAATCTCATTGTAAATCTAATGAAACCGGATCTGAAATACTGTTGATGAATACTAGAAATTCATCAAAATTGCACAAGTTTTTAAATGGCTAATTTTCTGTTTTGGCCGTTGTTTTAAAAAAAAACTTCAATCAGAACTATTTCTTGGTAGTACTAAAATGATACTTATCTCCCTTTTTCTGCAGTTTTTCTCTGATTTTCAAGGCACTGTTTCTATTGTAAGTATTGGTCAGCAGTGACTTACTACTTCTCTTACTCTCTTTTGTATCCTCTACTGCCATTTGAATTGCTATACAAAAAGTAACATCAGATTCTCCATTGTCTCTTAGCACAATTTTTTATCTGGAAGTGATATTAACATTATTTGTACTTACTCTTTGCATTTCCTGCTTAATGCTGTTATGCTGTGATTGCTGGATCTTGATCTGGATGCCTGCGTAATGCTACTCTAAAATTGAATTAGTAGTTTTGTAGTTAAGCTTTTCTTTAGTATATAAAAAATCAAATGAAACTAACAAATTTGGAGCACCTGTGCTGTGAGAACATAAGCACAAAACAGCTGAAAAATGGGAGGGTCTGTCTTGTTGCCTTCCATGTTTGTTTGTCATAATGCTAAAAGTTTGTATGACAGTAGATGTTTGTTTCTTCTACTGTTGGCTTTACTTGCATCTATTTCAGCTAATACACTTGTAAATAGTTCTTTCTGCTTTGGGTAGGGAGGGAATCGTCCCCCCCCAACTCTTCGTGTCTGCATAGAGAAATTAGTAGTTAAAAGTCAGAGTTTATTAACGCTACGTATTCTTAGCTATGCAAAGCTGTTTATGTCTAGAAAATTTTCACTTGCAAAGGATGTGAAATCTTACGGAAAAAAAAAATATATGCTTGCAGCTATAAATTAAACAGTTGTAAAACAAGCCTCTCATTGTGAGACCTCATCTGGTTTTGAACAATTCAGTGTCTGTAAGTTAATGTATGTAACTAACACTCTTTACAAATTTGTATTCCAAGGTGCACACGCAGTCATTTTTTCTGTTGAAAACAAAAGGCTGAATTTCCCGGTTAGTCATACGTATCTTGATTGTGTAGAGGCAACAGAACAAAGAAAGATAACTGCCTTCCACTGTTTTCTACCCTTATCCTGCCAGCACATGCTCACACGCTTAGTCAGATCTGCACTGATCTCTTTGTGAGGCTGGGTAGAGACGTGTGTGTCGGCAGGATTGGGATCTTAGGTGTCAGGGGTTTTTAGTAGCCTTTCAAATATAAAGTTAGTAGGACTGATACAGCACATACTGGATCAACATAGGGTGCTCAACTTGCAAAAGAATATGTGACTGAAATGACAGCTCAGAGGTGAACCAAAGGTACTTGCCTTTACCAGTAAGGTTGTACGGCTTCCTTTGCTTTAATCTATTTCTGACATGTTGGGTTTTTTTAAACATGACCTTAATGTACAATTTACTGCTCCAAATACGTTCACACCAAAATGTTAACGTTCTAGGCCTTGGAAGCTTTTTCATTCATGTTTGGTTTAAGGTGCTGCTATGCTTGTGTTCCTGCTAGGGTAGGTCTGCTGTAAACAGCCTGCCATTAATAACTTGACATGGACACTATGAGGCTAGGGTGGTTTAATGGTAGCAAGCTTCAATGCATGATGCAAACATGCATCTTCTGTTTCTTTTGTTGTTGTTTTCTAACAGCTGATGTGAATTTAAATGTGTGCTAGAAGGATTTGCTGCTTAGAGCATGACTGAATTGTCTTGTTTAAAATGCCATTGCTATGCAATGAACAGAATCAAGGAACTACATCATTCAACTCTGCATTGCCTTGCAGTCAGGTTGAGGGTATGTTTGTATTGGTGCGCGTGACTCTTCCACTTCACCGAAAACATAATCGGACAGCCTGAAACAGTGGAAATTGCTGAATGAACTGCTGGGT